AAATGCTTGCCCCGCCCGGAGTCATTCTTGTGATAGAATGTCGAGCAGCCGCTTCCGATCTGTCTTGAACTCTGCTAAACCTACACTCACTGACACTAAGCAAGGATTAAGCTAGGATTGATTCAGATGGAAATGCAGTAAAGACAGCTCATGATACTCCCAAAAATGAAAGAGGAGATGAACATTTACCAAAAAATCCAACACTTTTCAATCGCCCCTCTTGTTGCATAACTGTGCAAAAAATGCTCTTCTTCTAGAGGATGGCTAAAGAAAACGCTGCAGCATCAACCCAACCAGACTCCAAAAAACGTTCCTTAGGCAGCTGTAGAAACAAAGGAAGGAAATAAAAGTCTAGAAGCTGTATCCTACTGTGCATGCAACTCTGAGCAAGGCTAAGAGCCAAAGCTGTAGTAAGGGGCACGAGAACAAAACAATTCCAAGGGCGGTTAGTCCTGCAGATGTGGAAAGAAGGATAAAAAAAAAAGCTGAGCCTAGAAAAGCTGGACAGTGACAGGCCCAGGAATTTACCTTTGAGTACCAGGGACTTCACGTGCTTCAGATGAGGAAGGATGCCCAGCGTGGTGCCAAGGAGGCGATCGTTGCTGCTGAGTCGTAGGAACTCCACCTGGACCACCTCTCCCTGTCGCCCCTCGAACAGCTGGAGGAACCGGCAGCAGCCGTCAGGATAAACATCCAGGTTCAGCCTGTTGTCTGCAAGGCAGGAGCCAGAGAGCGCAGGAGCCCCCAAAGCCCCCTCCCCACACTCGTCCCTGAGCCCCAGTGGCTCTGCCATCTTCTGCATCTCGTCCACAGGGTCCGGACATGCTCTGACTTGCCAGACAGGCAGGCACCGGCGGCACCACGAGGCAGCTGGGACTAGGAGGAGGAAAGATGGCTCTGAAAGAGAACACAAGTGCACAATGAAGGCCTCCTGCCCCAGCCCAGAGCAGCTGGAAACAGTTTATAGTCCCAGCAAGAGGGCAGGAAGGATTACATGCGTGTTACTGAAAGCTTTGTGGGCAAAGAGCACAGAAATGCAGGGTGACGGATGCAATGGAGGCTGCTTGTCCTAGGGAAAACCTGAGTTTTCCTAGTTAACATCTTGGCAGTGAATGGAGCAATTACCCACCACCAGAATAAACAGCAATACTAACATTAAAAGATACAAATGTAAATGCCTATGTCTTATGCAGATTTCAAAGTGCCTTAGCGGGAAGCTTTACGAGTGGAAGGGGAAACCAAGGCAGGGAGAGCCAAGCCAGGGGCAGAGCTCAGAGGCTGCTCATAGGGTGCAATGGATCCTCATCGAACCCAGTTGTGAAACCGGGTGCCAACGGGATAAAAGCGAGTGCAGATGAAAGCAGGCAAAGGGCAGCAGAGCAAGCATGGCAGGGCCAGGGAGGGTGTTAGAAAAGGCATGTCTGTGGCTCAGGGGCACTGGACTGTGCAGAGGGGCTGGGGGTCTTGCAGATTTGCCTCTGCAGGGATGTTCTGACGCAGCAAACCGGGCACAAAGCCATGGCCGTCTATTTGCCAGCTAGTCCTTGTTTCCTCCCCTCACAGCACCCTCCATGGATAAGGAGACAGGGGAAAAGTAGATATCACAGAGTGCATGCTAAGAAGGATTTAAACCTGAAGGAGCAGAGGTATGAAATTTTAACAAATTAATTATTCCCCTGCCTTCTTAGTGTTGAAGAAGCCTTCATCCACCTAGGACCTTCAAAGTCAGCCACTATCATCGTAGCACACTGGTAGTGCAAAGATGAGCAAAGGCACCATGCTTGGTTTTATACCAGTAGTCACACACCTCCAGGTCCCCTCTTTCCCACTCTTT